GAAAAAATTAGCCGGGCATGGTGGCGCATGCCTGTAGTCCCAGCTACTCAGGAGGCTGAGGCAGGAGGATCGCTTGAGCCCAGGAGTTTGTGGTTGCTGTGAGCTAGGATGATGCCACGGCACTCACTCTAGCCCGGGCATCACAGTGAGACTCTGTCTCAAAAAGAAAAAAAAAAAAGAGAGACCCAGGAGATTGAGGAACACAGCTGTGCATCTGTGGGTCTCAGTGTTTGAGGTACACTAGGATCGCCTGGAGGGCTTGGGCTGGAGTGGGGCCTGAGCAGTTATGTACCTAGCAAGTCCCCAGGTGGTGATGCTCTGTAGTGGGGACTGGGAATGTAACTGTCCCTGATCAAGTCTGGGCTTATGCCCCCAGGTAGCTTGCAGGGGACTTATTACATATTCTTTAGCGGCTAGTATATGCCTGGCATTGTTCTAAGCACCTGCAGATGCTGCTTTGTTTAATTCACTCAACAATCTTCTCATCTTATAGATGAGGAAACTGATTTTTTTTTAATTTTTTTTTGACTAGACAAGCGCAGTAGTGAGGAGGAAAGCAGTAGAACAAGGAGTTCAATCTCTAACTGACTGCGAACAACCAAGTGAGATAACTCACTACCTTTGGACCAGCTGGAAACTGATTTTTTTAGAAAGCACGTTTAATTGATTTTGCCAATGTCCCACAACTAGTAAGTGGCAGAGTTAGTATTATTTTACTTTTTTTTTTCTTTTTAAAATAAGCTCAATTTCCTTCAGCAAGAGTTGGTATTCTTACCATGGTCTTGCACTAGAAAGTTCTGGCTTTAACAACTGAGATGTTATTGCTTCTAAATCCAGGCAGGAGAGCCAAAGAGCCCACAAGTAAGCAAAGAAAACAATGACAGAAGTGGATAATTGGCAATGAAAGAAACAGGCCGGGCGCGGTGGCTCATGCCTGTAACCCTAGCACTCTGGGAGGCCAAGGCAGGAGGATCGCTTGAGCTCAGGAGTTCGAGACCAACCTGAGCAAGAAGGAAATCCTGTCTCTACTAAAAATAGAAAAATTAGCCGGGCATGGTGGCGCATGCCTGTAGTCCCAGCTGCTCGGGAGGCTGAGGCAGGAGGATCGCTTGAACCCGGGAGTTTGAGGTTGCTGTGAGCTAGGCTGACGCCACGGCACTCTAGCCGGGGCGACAGAGTGAGACTCTGTCTCAAAAAAAATGCAATAAGTCTTCCTCGTGGCCAGCGTCCCCCCTTCTACAAAATGGGTTGTGCTTTTCTTCATTCTGTTCCGTGGAAGAGCCACAGGAAGTTGTTTGCTTCTTTGGAGTGTTTTCCAACAGTATAGATCTCATGAGCCAGATCCTCCACGCAGGTGGCGCCACGTCTGCCTAGAGAGTGAGCAGTAAAGGTGTCACCCGTGAAAGCAATTCGCTCCTTACTGACCTGCCATAACCAAGCCTATAGATGAGCTCATTTAGGGACTTCAAGTTCAGTGCCCACGTGGAACGCTGTGTACTGTTCACAGCCCTCAGCTCGTCAACCGAAGCCTTAATCAGCTTAACAAAGGTGACCTTGAAGATCTGGCAAAGGTGAGGAGCTGTAACACCTTTTGGACCCTGAAGCTGCCAGCTTTTCCTGCCATCTTGTCCCTTTGAATCTCGGTTCAGCACCTCTGCCTGCATTCCCGCGACAGTGGTTAGCTTTCACACAGACAGGCTTCCTCCTTGCTTTTTTATTTTTAAATTT